GCGACCTGAACTCCCACCGCCTGCGCTCTTAGGTGTAGCTGGGCTGCCTGGCGGAGGACTGCGGGGGCGGCTTGGAAGCACCGTGCTGGTGAGCAGGGGCCACGTGCTCTTAGCACGGCGCTTCTCTGCCGTCGATCTCCCCAGGCCCCAGAGAGCTTCCGGCCTCACCGCCAGGCCGCTGTGGATCACGGGCCTGCTTGGGCCCCCTTCGAAAGCCTGACCCAAGCGCAAGAGCAGCTTGTCGATTTCAGACCCAAGGTGGAAGGCTCCGGAGAACGTCCACACCACCCACCGTGGCAGAACTGTGAGCCAGCCCCTATAAACCCCGGGGGCACCAGGCGGCCCGGGCATGCCAGGACCCGGCTGGCAGCACCCCACCTCCGTTGCCGCGGATTGGAGTTGCAGGAAGCTGACGGCGCAAACCCCGGCCTGTTGCTACAACGGCCCCTGCTTTGGGGTCGGGCTCTGTTCTCCGGCTCGGATCCCTGGCTCTTGGCTCCTGATCCCTGTCCCGGGTTAGACTCCTGGTTTCCGGCTTCAGCTCACACCTCAGGCCTGATGCCTGTTCCTGCCTGCTAGGCCACGCTGCCCACGTCCTGGTCGTGACAACATTCCCCCCACCCTTGGGCCAACCCTGCCAGTGCCACCTTGTTCTCAAGGCTCGGCCTGAGAGGGGGGAGTCCCCATGCCCGCAATCCATCGCTGGCCACCTCCCGCCCATGGGGTTGGCGTGGCCCACAGCTGTGCTGTGTGCATACAGCAGCCTCCGCCGGGCCGCCCCCACACGGGTAAGAGGAGGTGGTCAGACCCCCCAAGGGGGTCGGGTTGTTCTCAGCCCCCCAACCCAGACCTGACACGTGGGGTCGGGTTGTAGGGCTCTGCTGCGGATTCCCTGCCCATCACCGTGGGGCCCTCCCCAGCCGCAGGCAGCAGAGCTGTGGAGTTGGGGGTAGCAGGAGGGGACATAGATCCTCCCTTTTCAATACCCGTCAATTTCATGCCAGGGAAAGTGACCGATGTGCCCTGCCGGGGGACTGGGCTCCATCAGGCATCCCCAGAGCGGGCACGGCCAGGGGGGTTACCTGCCACCCAAATCCATCCACCTCCCAAGCGACTCATCCCTGCCCCCTGCTGGTCAGCAGTCACTCAGGGCTTCAGGGGCTCTGCTCGGCTTGGTGTCCGGTTCCCCCTCGCCCTGCGCAGCAACCTACCCAGACTCTGGGCATCCCTCCTGGAGCGGGACCCACATACGGGCATGAAACAGTGCTGATGTGTTGCCAGCCCAGGATTCCTGGGTACTCTCCCCAGCTCTGGGAGGAGCAGGGAATCTAGTGGTTAGCGCGGGGTGGGGGCTGGAAGTCAGGACTCCTGGGTTCTATTCCTGGCTCAGGGGGGAGAGTGGGATCTAGTGGTTAGAGGGGAGGGGCACCTGGGTGTCAGGACTCCTAGGTTGAGAAGCTCAACCCTTAAATACAGCGCCCCCAATCCCACAGCCCCATCGAGGCTCTAGGAAGCAGCATGGGGGGGGGGGTCTCCGTGGCCCATTCAGTTCTCTGCCAGCGATGGGGTGGCCACTGCCAGTCCGGGCCAGCGGTGATGGATGGCTGTGCGCTGGGAGCATCTGGGGCTGGGCTGAGACCTGCCCAACTCGTTGCATGCATGGCCAGTCAGGGGCCCCTGTTGGCAACAGGGCCCACCTCCCATTAACAAACCGGCCACTTCCCAGGCTCCTTTGCGAGCGAGCCTCGAAAGTCCTTTCCAGGAAGGCGGCCTCCCTCCCTCACTTCCGCCTTCGGGGCCCCCCAGCTACCGGGGACCCCCTTAGCTTGGCCTGGCTCAGCTCTGCATGAAGGGGCAGATAACCAGCGTCATCCAGACCCTCGTCACTCATCCAGCCTTGGTGCGAAAATGAGCTGCTGTCCCTTTAAGACAACCCCCCCTTCCCCCCTCCCAGCAAAGGCAATCAGCTGTTCAGGCTAATTAAAGGCAGGTGCAAAGGGGTGTTGGGTGCATGGAAGGTGAGAGTCTTAGAGATGGTTTAAAGGGAGGTGGCTGGCCAGCCCCCCCTCCATGTTGGTTTAAAGGGGGGGGCACTGGTGATGGGAGGGGACTGGAGGAGGGGGTTTCCAGGCCCCTACAGGTATCTTGGGCTGCAAGATGCTTGCTCCTTTTGAGCATCCCCCAACACACACACCTACCCCTAAGGAGCTGGATGCCCCATCTGCCTGGCTCTCTGCACCCCCTTGGAGCTGGGGGGCAGAGGGAATTTCCCCCCCTCCTGCCCAAGGAGACTCATCCGGCTCGCCTGTCCTGACACAGCTGGCCAGGGCTGGGGGCAGCTGTGCGGAAGCGGCTCTGCCTCTCCGGCCTGCATCCTGCTGATGCCCTTGGGTGTAGCCTTGCCCCCCCCCTGCCCCCAGAGACCCTTCCCGAGCCTTGGCATAAGCAACTCCCGCAAACGGGAGTCGGGACGGGGAGAGGAAGGGCGGATTTTCTCAGGGAGTGGGACACGGGGGCCTTGCCCCTCTAGGGGCCGCAGGCTATGATCTGGCCCCACAGCAGGCTATGATCTGGCCCCACAGCAGGCGAGTGGCTGGCTCAAGGGGGCAGAGAATGGGATTTGGGGCTTCCCCCTGGGGGGTGCCAGCTCTGAGCCAGCCCAAGGCAGGGAGACTAGCTGTGTGAGGGAGGGATATGGGGCCTTTCCCCTCTGTGACCCCCAAGGGGCCAGAGCTGCACCCTAGATCCTGAGACGGGGCTGACTGGTTCAGGCCAGGGCCTGCTGGGGGTCAGGCCTCCCCTAAATCTAGTCGACTCCTGCAGTCCGGCAGCGCCCTCTGGCGGCAGGTTGCTGGTAAGGCTGCTCTGAGCTCCTCTCCAGGTGACTTTGGGGGCGACCCCGAGCCAGGACAAATGCCACTAGCTTTGCCCCTAGTGCTGGGGAGCAGAGGATGGTGTGAGGAGAGAGACAGAAGTGGGGGGGCAGCTGCAATAGAAAGGAAAGGGAAACTGAGGCTCCACAGCTCCCAGCTATCAACGGCTCAGCTGAGCCTGTGGCCAGCTAGTTTGGCGTCTTGTCTCCAGCCATGGGCCACGCCTGATGCATCGGACTTTATCCTGAAGCAGCGTTGCCTAGTGGGTGGAGCACTCCCCCAGCCCGCGGGAGGCGTGGGTTCTATTCCTGGCTCGGAACCAACAGAGGGGTAAGGGATAGCTCAGTGGTTTGAGCTATTGGCCTGCTAAAGCGAGGGTTGTGAGTTCAATCCTTGAGGGGCCCATTTAGGGATCTGGGGCAAAAATTGGGGCTTGATCCTGCTTTGAGCAGGGGGTCGGACAAGATGCTCTCCTCAGGTCCCTTCCAACCCTGAGATTCTATGATTCTAAGTCACTGCCCTGCCCTGTGCCTCAGTTTCCGCATCATACCGTAATACCCATGATAATCGCTCCACCTGGAACCCCAGAGCTGACCCTGTGTTCCACCCTATACGGCAGGGATGGGCAAACTACGGGCTGGGGGCCACATCTGGCCCTCCAGACATTTTAATCTGACCCTCGAGCTTCTGCCAGGGAGTGGGGTCAGGGGCTCCCTCCGTGGTAAAGCCCATTGAGCTCTGCAGCTGAAAAGCGCTGGATAAAGGCAGCGGGTTGTTGTGGTAGCAGATACACAGAGTCCGCGGCCCGAGGGAACCCCTTGGGGTCATCGAGTCTGACCTCCTGTGTAACTCAGGCCGCAGACCATGGAATGACCAGCCTGTTGTTCCAGCCAGCTAACCTTCCTGACCCTACCTGCATGCCCTGATGCCTGCGCATGGATGCCCCCTTGAGGTGAACATGTGTGTGTTGTTACGGTCCTGCTCTTACCCAGAGGAGGGGAAGGGTTTTTAAGGTGCTGAGCCCAACTGCTGGGGGTCTTGAGTGCTGACGGGTGGGGTTACTACGATCTGGTGCTGTACTTCTGCCAGGCATCTCAAGGGTTAACGTGACCCCGAGGCCTCTGCGCAGTGTCACACCTTATCTCCCAGCAGCCTGGGGAAATAACTGGCCTGGCTAGGAGCCCGCTAAAGGAAGCTCGGGGGTCGGAGGTGCGGATGCTTCAATAGGGGGCGCCCTCCTGTCTGAGGCAGCGCTGCCCTCAATGGGGCAGCGCTAGGGGGCGCGGGCAGTGAGGCAGGGGCTCGCTAAGGGGTGCCTCGCAGACAGTGCTGACCCCATTGCTCGCCCCAGGGGGCACTGTGCTGCAGGGAGTGCGGCGGGGGGGACCTCAGTAGGGGGCGCTCTCCCCTTGCAGTCAGCACTGACCCCAATGCGGCACTAGGGGGCGCTCTGCTGCAGGGAGCTGGGTGGGGCATGATTCAGAAAGGGACCCACTGCCCTTGGAGTCAGGGTTGATTCGGCCCTCCTTAAATTCCTGCGCTTTCGCTTGGATTCCGTTTCGGTGGCCTCCTTTTCATGCCTCAAACTGGGATGCAGAATTGGAGTCCGGCTGTTAAACAGCAGCTGTGCCACACCCCAGAGACAGCTGCATCTCCGCTCTGGGTGAGGGATATTTGTATAAACAACTGCCAAGCCCCACCCTAGAGGGGTCTACATTTCCGGGCTGGGCCAAGGAGCCTTGTTATAGATCAAAGGTCCCTGTATAAACAGCTGCCACGCCCTACCCCAGAGGTGGCTGCATCTCAGTGCTAGATCAAAGGTCCCCACATAAACAGCTGCCACGCCCTACCCCAGAGGTGGCTGCATCTCAGTGCTAGATGAAAGGTCCCCACACAAACAGCTGCCATGCCCTGCCCCACTGGTGGCTGCTCTGTGCAGAACCATCAGTCTGTGTAGAAAGGCTTTGTCATGGGACGTGCTCAGAGCAGCTCAACCCCCAACCACCCCTCCCCACAGAAAACCTTGACAGTTTGGAAAACCAAACAAACAAGCCACTTCCCTGTTTCCCAGTCCCAGCCTTTACTGCCTGGGCGGGGAGAAGGAAAGATCCACCTTAAAGGAACTCAGCCCAGCCTTCCTTTCCCGGGGTTGATTGGCCATCCGGCCAGTCACTCGAGATCCCATATGGGCTTCTTGGAAAAGTTGGCTCCAGACTCCAGGTTGCCCTGGGCGCCCTGCTGCAGGGGGAGAGATTCCCGGCGAGGCCTGACGGCATGAGAGATGGGCTGCCAGAGCTCCCACCCGTCCGCTATCCCCGAGCTGGAGGAGATCATGGAGGAAACCGGCTGTAAGGGCTCAGCAGAGTGTGTGTGTGTGGGGGGGGGGGGATTGTGTAACCCTCAAGTTGGCAAGTTAAATCTGAGCAAAAGGGGACGGCGGGGAGGGGTGGTCGCACTGGCTGGTGTCCTGGGGCTGCAGGCCATGTGGGGCAGGGACTCTGCGCTGTACAGGGCTGGGCAGTCGGACCGCGCTGCACCTAAATACCTGCCCTCCGAGGCCTCTGGTTGAAGGGGAGGGAGAAACGTGTGTGTGTGGTTCTGCCAAAGGACTGGGGGGGTCAGGACTCCTGGGTTCTATTCCGAGCTTGGGGGGGGGGGGTTTGGTGGGTTAGAGCAGGGTGGGGCTGGGAAGCAGGACGTGGGTTCTAGCCCCAGCTCGGGGAAGGGTGTTGTTTTGTGATCACAGCAGAGGTTGTTGAGTCAGGCAGGTAGGGTGATCAAACAGCAAATGTGAAAAATCGGGATGGGGTGGAGGGTAATATATAAGCCTATATAAGAGAGAGACCCAAAAATTGGGACTGTCCCTATAAAATTGGGATATCTGGTCACCCTAAAGGCAGGACTCCTGGGTTCCCTGCTTGGCTCTGGCACTGACTAGCTGTACAGTCCCATGGCAAGTCACTAACGCCCCCCTCCCCTCTGTGCCTCGGTTTCCCCCATTTCACCTGGATCCTTGGGAAAGTGGCCTACCTGGTTAATTTGCAAGGTGCCCTGACAGTGGGTGGATGGGAGGGGCTGGCAAAGGAGGCAAGCTCACCCCCCAAACGGCTCCATCCTGTCCCCCATCTACCCTGGGGGTGCGGGGCAGAGAATGGCCACAGCACAGTGTGTGGAGAAGGACTCTCAGGTGCCATTTCCCACCCCAGGGGGCTCGGAGTGTGAGAGAGGATCCGCCCCTGGGTGCATTTCAGAGCCACTGACTGAGGCCCTATGACTTAAAATGGGCGTGAAGCTTTGAACGGGTGTCCCAGCAAGGGGAATCCTGGAGTGTGGCTCTCCCAGCCCTGGCACTTTGGGTCTTTCTGAACCCAGCTGGGAATCTCCTCGAGTTCGTTGGTTCGAATCCAGCCCTGGCGGGTAGGGACTGAAAGCCTACTTGAGTTGGCTACTGCTGGTGGCCCCACTTGTGATATGAGCTCAGGGCTTAGCGGGATGGGCGCCCGTGGCACAGAACAGCACAGAACAGCCTCCCTGTGGTTGGTCCTAATTGGCAACCTTGGCTAACAGGCCCAGGATTGAATGGGGCACAGGAAATAGGGGACCCCTGCAGGGTGTATTGGCCAGGGGGCGCTGAGATAAAATAGCCCCATGGCTAGAGTGCTGGACTCAGAATCAGGACGCCTGGGTTCTGTTTTCAGCTCCGGGAAGAGAGTAGGGTCTAGTGGTTAGAGCAAGGGAAGCTAGGAGTCCTGAGCTCTCTTCCTAACGCTGGTGGAGACTGGGGTCTAGTGGTCAGAGCAAAGGGGAATGTGGGAGTCAGGACTCATGAGTTCTCTTACTAGCAATGCCACTGATTGGCTGTGTGTGACCTTGGGTGAATCACTTCCCTGCCTTGTGCCTCAGTTTCCCCATCTGTAAAATGATACCGACCTTCCTTTGTAAAACACTTTGAGGTCTCCAGACGAAAAACCCAGGGAAAGAGCCAATCCCCCTGAGCAGCCCAGGCCCCTGGCATGAAATTAAATCTGCTATTAAATGTTAATCAGATGAGGGGAAGGGGAACAGATTTAATCACCAGTATCCTAAAAATTCCATCGCAGGGTTGTTAAACCCTCACCTGCCTTGGCCCCTGCAATAAGGGCGAATCTTTGTCAACGGCTAAAACTGTCTCGCTCTCTCGTGTCCAGTTTCGCAGGCCAGCGTCGTCCGCCTCTATGACCGGTTTCAGGCCCTGGACAAGGAGCAGAAGGGCTACCTGAGGTAGGGGGAAAGCGGGTGTCTCTCCCTGGGCCCTTCTGGCTGCTTTATCATTGGATCATTACGACAGCACTTACAGTCTCTGGTGCATTAAGGTGGTTTAACGCTTGGGTGCGAAGAGCTCGGACACTTCGGTGATGGGCATGGCAAAGGAAACCGTATAGCAGGGATGGGCGAACATTTTGGCCCAAGGGCCACATCTGGGCATGGAAATTGAATGGCGGGCCGTGAATGCTCAAAAAATTGGGGGTTAGGGTGTGGGAGTGGGGAAGGGCTCTGGCTGGGGATGTGGACTCTGGGGTCGGTCTGGGGTGCAGGAGGGTGCTCCGGGCTGGAATCAAGGGGTTCAGAGGGCGGGAGGGGGATCAGGGCTGGGGCAGGGGGTTGGGGCGTGGGGAGAGGCTCAGGGGTGCAGGCTCCAGGTGGCACTTACCTCAAGCGGCTCCCGGAAGCAGCGGCATGTCCCCTCTCCAGCTCTTACGCGGAGGCACAGCCAGGCGGGTCTGCACACTGCCCCGTCCGCAGGCGCCACCCCTGCAGCTCCCATTGGCTGCGGTTCCCAGCCAGTGGGAGCTTCGGGGGCAGCTCTTGGGGCAGGGGCAGTGTGCAGAGCCCCCTGGCTGCCCCTATATGTAGGAGCCGGAGGGGGGACACACTGCTGCTTCCAGGAGCCGCACAGAGCAGGCCAAGCCCCCGACCCCGCTCCCCACCTGGAGCGCCAGAGCAGGGCAAGCCCCTGACCCCACTCCCTGGTGGAAGCTCGAGGGTCAGATTAAAATTTCTGGAGGGCCAGATGCGGCCCCCAGCCCGTAGTTTGCCCATCCCTGCCGTATAGGGTGGAACAGATCACAGGGTCAGCTCTGGGGTTCCAGGTGGAGCGATTATCATGGGTATTACGGTAGCACCTAGCTGGGGCAAGGAGAGTGCCCCCAAGATCCGGGCCCCGTTGCCTCAGGTGCCGCAGACATTGGCAGGAAAGGCCCCTGCCCCAAGGAGACAGACGAAAGGCTGGGAGGGGAAACTGAGGCACGGAGTGGGGCCCAAGGTCAGAGCCCGGAATAGAACCCAGGTGTCCTGAATGCTGTCCACACCCCCTCCCCCAGCGAGGGGAATCGGGCCCAGTGGCTCTCCAAGGGGGCCAACTCTCTACTAAGAGGGACCCACAACAGGGATGCACTGGGCAGCTAATGGGAGCTGCCCATGGCGGCCCAGAGTCTGGCATCAATCTGGAGTAACCCCAGGGGAGTGAGCTGCGGGTATCCAAGATCCTTCCTCTGGAACGGCTGCCATGCCCCACGCCAGAGACAGCTGCATCTCAGCGCTGAGAGAGGGATCTCTGTATAAACAGCTGCTGGGCCTCACTCCAGAAGTGACTGCATCTCACCACTGGAGGAGAGATCCCCATATCAACAGCTGCCTATGCCCCACCCCAGAGGCGACAGCCACCAGTCTTGGGCCTAGAACACAGGGGTGAGGCCCCCAAGGGTTCAGAGCTGAACCAGCCGGGCCATGCCATGACCTCTGCCCTGTCTCACTCCCTAAAGCAAATACGACCTGCAGGGGATCGGGGAGCTGGCGGTGAACCCCCTGGGGGACCGGATCATCAACGCCTTCTTCAAGGAGGGGTGAGTCTGCTCCATGAGCGTCACCCCCAGCCCCAATCGACGGTGGGGGCAGGGAACTTCCAGCGGCCTGGCTCTGCAGCGTGGCGGGTGCAGGCTATCTCACTCGCCGCTGGGGGGCGCCAGAGCTCACCGGCCACGGAGCATCGCAGGGGACCCCGGCAGAGCCCGACGGGGACTGGATGGTGCAGGGTGCTGAGCAGTGCGGCCTCTGTGGCAGAGACATGCGTGGTCCTTCTTCGCTCCCTGCTGCATGGATCCCCGTGGACACAGCCCCTGCGCCCCGCCCCAGAGGTGGCCGCATCTCAGCGCTGGGCAAGGGCTCCCTGTATAAACAGCTGTGGCTTGTCTGGCAGCCTGCACTGCTGCACTGATTATTAGTCAAGTCTCCCGTCTCCCACCGCAGGGAAGAGCTCACCGATTTCCGATCCTTCATCCGGGTCCTGGCCCGTTTCCGGCCCATGGAGGAAGGAAAGTCCAAGGAGACTGGTCGCCCGGAGCCCATGAACAGCCGACAAAGCAAGCTGCAGTGTGAGTAGTGGGGTTGGTGGCAGGACTCATTGGGGGGGGAGGCCTAGTGGACTGCCCCCCATGCCCCACTGCTAAGGCAAGTCACTGGGGCCCCTTGGTGACAAGGGGAGGAGGACCCAGATGAGGGGCTGTGGCATTATGGGGCCTGCATGGGAGGGGAAGGTACTACTGGCCTCTGGCCAGAGGGCATTGGGAGTGGGGGGTGAGGAGGGCACGTGGGAGGAGTGCTAGGTGTGGAGAACTGGGAGGGGTAGTGGGGTGGGGGCACCCAAGGGCATGTGGAGGGGTGCTGAGGTGGAGTGGAACTGACAGAACTGAGGGGCGGGCCATGCAGAGCTATGGGGAGGGGTGCTGGGGTGGGAGCATGCATGGGGAGGAGGCAGAGTGGGGCCACAGGCATATGGAGGGGTGTTGGGCTAGGGGGACATGTAGAGGCTTAAGGGGGACAGGGGGAGGTTTGGGCTGGTGGCGGGGGGATCATTTCCCTGCCCCAATCCCATTGCTGACACCAATCTGGGTTGCATAGTTGCTTTTCAGCTCTACGACCAGGACAGCGACGGGAAGATCTCCCGGGACGAGATGCTGCAGGTAATGAGCGTGCGCGAACGTGCAAGGGCCTGGGGAGTGTGCAAAGAGTGAGGGGAAGGGGCTTGGGGTGAGCATGCGCACGAGGCTGGGGAGCGAGTGTGCAAGGTGGCTGTGCGAGGCCGGCCTCCTCCCGAGGGCCCCCAGAGATGGAATCCCTCCTCCCCTCCTGCAGTGGCAGCCCCCCAGGGTGGGTGGGGCAAGGGGCCGTCACTGTCTCCTCCCCTCCAGGTGCTGCGGCTGATGGTCGGCATCCAGGTGACGGACGAGCAGCTGGCGTGCATCGCCGAGCGCACCATCCAGGAGGCCGATCAGGACGGTGACGGCGCCATCTCCTTCGAGGAGTTTGCCATGGTCTGGCAGGGTCCAGGGGGGCAGGGTGTAGAGCTGGGGGGCAAGGGGTGGGGTTGATTGTCTAGAGGGGAGCAGTGAGGCCCGGTTGAGGGGGTGGAGGATGGATTATTAAGTGTATTACGATAGCACCTGGGGCCACAGCTGAGCGAGAGGCAGTCTGGCGGGATCAAGAAAGGACCATTATCCCCACTGAACAGGAAGGGAAACTGAGGCACAGGGAGGCTAAACTGGTTGGACACAAGGTCACCCAGGGTGTCTGGAGCAGTGCTGGGAATTGAGTCCCAGCCCAGGGCTTTAGTCACGTGGTCAGCCCCCCCGCCCGCAGGGACCTCTCGTGGCTGTCTGGGTGGGAAGTGGTTACAGCCTGGGGCTGGCCATGTTTCCGACGTCCTCGCCTCCCCGCAGTCAGTGGAGAAGCTGAACATCGAGCAGAAAATGAGCCTCCGGCTGCTGAAGTGACCCATCAGGACTGGAGAGAGCTCCCCCCCGCCCGACCCAGCACTGGGAAGATCCACTCTCAGAGGGGCTGCCGCCAATCAGATTTCAGCTCCGCCCTCTCATCATTCAATGGATCCCTCCAAGGAGGGGCTGCATCCAATCACACTTCAGCTCCGCCTTCCTACCTCCGCTCCGCATAGTTCCAGACAGAGAAGAGCTGCACCCAATCAGATTTCATCTCTGCCCCCTCACCTCAGGAAGGATCCAGTCTGACAGGGGCTACGTCCAATCAGATTTCACCTCTGCCCCTTGTCTTGGGATGGATCCAGTTGAAGAGGGGCTGCATCCAGTCAGATTGCATTGCTGACAAAGAGCGGATCCTGCTGTGAAGCTGGCCTATGATGGCTGTCACTCCTTCCAAATAACAAGTGCCTGCACCCAAGGGAATGGGATCCAAGCTAACTCCCCTCCCCAGCGCTGCCCCTGATAACTGGGGGACTCTGATGCCCCCCAATGGCAGGGGATAGTAGAGCCTCTGGTCAGTTTACTGCAGATCAGAGACTTACAACCTACAAACAGCACCTCCCGTTCTTGTGCTTTAAGCCCTCTTTGCAGTCCCTCTATTCTGGGCCCCGCCCAGCTCCCAGTGTCAATTAGAGCAGCCCTGAGGCTGCTCTGACTTGCACATTACCCCCTAACGGCCCTGGGGAGCAGAGAATACCCACAGCGCCGTACGCTCCAGCTATGTCCCCAATCGACCCCCTGTGCCGGGAGCTGGAAGCAGGGCCCTTATGCACAGCAGCCGGGGACGCTCTCACTGGTCAAGGCGCGGGAAGCTTCTCAGGGCGACGCTGCCGTCCCAGTGGGCTCAGCGTGCCTGAGACTTGGGCCTAGAATCTCCTGCCATCGGGGCTGGATTCGCTCGGATTCAACTCTGTCTGTTTGTAAAAAAATAAAATAACCATGAAAAATCTCGTCCTCGGATTTAAAATAATCGTCGAATTTCCATCTGCATTTAATGCCGGGGAGAAAATGCCACCCCCCACCACCACCGCCACCACCTCGAGTCCCTGGGGCAGTGTGGCCAGCCACACAGCTCCCCTTAGCCAATCTATCCCAGCTCTGGAGGGATCACCCCACCTCCAAGGGAAAGTAGGGGACTCAGGCCCCAGGGTCCCATTTACTCCTTGGCCTTTTCACGGTGGGGTGGCTAAGTGGTTGCGGCATTTGACTATAATCTGGTGGGTTAGAGTCTCCCTCAATCTCACACGGGAAGGCCCCCTCCCATGGACCCAGAAGCACGTGAGTCCTTGATCCAAAGGCGGTCTGACCCAAAGCTGGCTCCTGTGATGCCCTGTCAAGCATGGGCTATGAAACCGATGGCTCGGGGGAACGCTGACGCTCCACTGAGGCTACCAGCAGGGTCGGGAGAGGGCATTTATACTGGTGTCTCTTGTAGGCTGTGAACACCCGTCTTACTGAGCTGAGACCTGCCCTGTTTGTCACACCCATGAGGCCACAAAGCAGTTCTAGGGGGCCTGGGAAAATGGCTCGTCCCGCACCGATGACATTAAAGTCAGATCAGAGTGGGGGGAAATTTTCACGGGGTGGATTCTTGCCCAGTGGTTCCTCGGTGGGTGCGGATTTCTCTGTGACTGCTCGTGCCCAGCTCCAGAGGCCTGCTGGACAGCGTCCGTCCGTCTTAGGTGCAGTTGATCTCTCTCTGTTTCTCCCCACTGCACCCTATAAAATGTCCCACCACGCACTCATCTCCTCCAGCAAGCTCAGGCCTTAATCATAATCAGCCCTAGTATATCTCAAGGGGCTTTCCAAAGAGGTCGGTATCATTAGCCCTGTTCTATGGGTGGGGAAACTGAGGCACAAAGAGAGCATGACTTGCCAGTGATTGAGCTGAGATTAGAACCCACCTCTTCCAGGTCCCGGGCCAGTGCTCTATTCAGTAGGCCTTGGCCTCTTTGCTGTATCCACACCCCTAACTCCAGGCGTCCCCACACACACACGCACATTTCCCTTTCTTTGCCCACCTGCCTCCCTGCGACACAGTCCCGGTTCTCCCAGCCCAGCCTCCCACCTGTGTTTGTTGCAAAGTGTCTTTAAGGGAGGCGGGGGGAAGGGAATTGCATCAGCCCCTGATTGCTGGTGGGGCAGGGGGGACCCCAGCCCCACCGAGTAGGAGGCAGGATTGGCCCAGTTTGGAACGTCCATGTGATGCCTGTGAAAAGCTTGCCTGGTGAGCTGAGTGCACTGCCCATCACGCTGGCCACATGTGCCACCCCAGCTGGCGTCTCTTGTCTTAGCCTTCGATTGGACGCTCTTTGGGGCAGGAACTGCCTTTTGGTTCCGTGTTTGTACAGCACCTGGCACAATGGGGTCCTGCGCCATAGCTGGGGCGCCTAGGTGCTACCGTAATACACCTAATAGCAATACAAACATACAGCGCCTGGCACGATGGGGTCCTGCGCCATAGCTGGGGCGCCTAGGTGCTACCGTAATACACCTAATAGCAATACAAACGTACAGCGCCTGGCACGATGGGGTCCTGCACCATAGCTGGGGCGCCTAGGTGCTACCGTAATACACCTAATAGCAATACAAACATACAGCGCCTGGCACGATGGGGTCCTGCGCCATAGCTGGGGCTCCTAGGTGCTACCATAATACACCTAATAGCAATACAAACGTACAGCGCCTGGCACGATGGGGTCCTGCACCATAGCTGGGGCTCCTAGGTGCTACCATAATACACCTAATAGCAATACAAACGTACAGCGCCTGGCACGATGGGGTCCTGCACCATAGCTGGGGCGCCTAGGTGCTACCATAATACACCTAATAGCAATACAAACGTACAGCGCCTGGCACGATGGGGTCCTGCACCATAGCTGGGGCGCCTAGGTGCTACCGTAATACACCTAATAACATTCAAAATGTTCAGCGCCTGGTGCAATAGGGTCTTGGCCCGTGGCTGGGGCGCCTGGGTGCTATTTAATGCACCTAATAGCAAGAAAAACGTTTCACCCTAATGCACCGAATAAATAACACACAGTGACACACCCAGCGGGATCCAGCGTGGGAGCTCTCCGGGATCCTGGCCGCTGGGGAGGTGTCGGGGCCAGAGAAGAAACGTTTAAGTTTCTTTGAATTCTTTGAATTTCTTTAAGTTTATTGAATGCGGTGCCTGGGAAAATCTTCCCTCATTCAATTCCGGGGGTTGCCGAGTTATGGCGGGCGGGGGCGGAGACCAGGTGATCACACTGGGCCCTTCTGACTCCTAATCCTGGTTGTTTCGTGTCCCTCCCCGCATCACACCCACACCCGGGGGGGGGGCAGCTCCCAGGTCTACCTACACACCCACACCCCGGGGGGGGGGGCAGCTCCCAGGTCTACCTACACACCTACACACCCACACCGGGGGGGGGGGCAGCTCCCAGGTCTACCTACACACCCACACCCGGGGGGGGGGCAGCTCCCAGCTCTACCGGCTCCCTCCAGCCTCTGTAGGGTTAAAAGATAAAAACCCACCCAGATTTGGGTCAGGGGCTCAGCCTATCGCCTCCGTCTCTGGCGGTGGCTAGCCCAGCAGCCAGCCAATCGCGCGGGGCTTGTGTCTGTGCGCTGGGGTTTTGCAGCGGGGGGGTGTGTCTTTGCTGACACGTCCCCGGACGGGATTGGGGTGCATCGCCGGGATCGCCCCTCCCCTTTTGGAAAGGGATCGGCGCTGCACCTGCTCAGGGGCAGGGGGGAGCGATCGGGCTGGAAGGGGGACCCCCCCCCGCACCCAGGTACCAGCTCTTTTGCTCTCTCTAGCGACCTGGGGGAGATACTGAGGACCGCTTCCCCCCCCCCCGCCCCAGGCTGGGCTCGGGGGTTGGGGGTGCTACAGCCCTGGGGGGGCGGATGAGCGGGGAGGATGCTGCAGTCCGGGCCTGGGAGACATCTTACTGCATCTTCCTGTCCGGCTCAAGGTGCCTGAGCCGGGGGGGCTGCTTCCCTTGCGGCTGCGGGGGGGGACAGAGGGAGTAGATCGGGGTACAGGCAGGGGGGCTTCTGGGGAGGGGCTGGGGTATGGGCACGGGGGACAGGCTTCAGGGGGGAATGGGGGCGCTGGGGTATAGGAACTGGGGGAAATAGGGGGGAGAAGGTCTCGGGGAGAGGGAGCAGTTTTTTGGGGGGGCAGGCTGCATTACCTGCAGCTGCCTGAGGGAGGGAACGGTGCGGGGGGGCAGGGGTTACACCCCTAGGGCTGGGGTAACAGTTGTGCAGATATGGGGCAGCCTCGCTGAGCCTGCTGGGAGGCTGGGGAGGTGGAATGGGGGGGGGGGTTCCTGGGTCTAGCCTCTCGTGTCCCCTAGAATGGAGCCCCTTGTGCCCCCCACCCAGAGATGCCTCCAGGCCCAGCCTAGCTGCCAAGTATCCAATTCCTCCCCCACCCCGGGGGGCTGGCCCATGTGGGAAGGGGGTAAACTCCCCCCCACCTGCCCGCCTGCCACCCTCATCCTGATTAAACTGGCCAGCTCCTGCCATGAGCCTCCCCCTAAATCTTGTCTGGGCTGCTGCTTGGGAGGCAACTAAGGGATGGGAGTGGGGTGGAGGAGTTGCTGGGAGACAGGACTCCTGGGTTCTATTCCCAGCTCCGAGAGGGGAATAGGATTGGAGGTGGGAGGCAGGACCCCTGGGTTCTATTCCCGGCTCTGAGAGGGGAATAGGATTGGGGGTGGGAGGCAGGACTCCTGGGTTCTGTTCCCGGCTCTGAGAGGGGAATAGGATTGGGGGTGGGAGGCAGGACTCCTGGGTTCTATTCCCGGCTCTGAGAGGGGAATAGGATTGGGGGTGGGAGACAGGACTCCTGGGTTCTATTCCCGGCTCTGAGAGGGGAATAGGATTGGGGGTGGGAGGCAGGACCCCTGGGTTCTATTCCCGGCTCCGAGAGGGGAATAGGATTGGGGGTGGGAGGCAGGACTCCTGGGTTCTATTCCCGGCTCCGAGAGGGGAATAGGATTGGGGGTGGGAGGCAGGACTCCTGGGTTCTATTCCCGGCTCCGAGAGGGGAATAGGATTGGGGGTGGGAGGCAGGACTCCTGGGTTCTATTCCTGGCTCCGAGAGGGGAATAGGATTGGGGGTGGGAGGCAGGACTCCTGGGTTCTATTCCCGGCTCTGAGAGGGGAATAGGATTGGGGGTGGGAGGCAGGACTCCTGGGTTCTATTCCCGGCTCCGAGAGGGGAATAGGATTGGGGGTGGGGAGGCAGGACTCCTGGGTTCTGTTCCCGGCTCCGAGAGGGGAATAGGATTGGGGTGGGGAGGCAGGACTCCTGGGTTCTATTCCCGGCTCTGAGAGGGGAATAGGATTGGGGGTGGGAGGCAGGACCCCTGGGTTCTATTCCTGGCACTGGGAGGGCGGGGGGTCTAGTGGTTGGAGCAGGGAAGGCTGGGAGCCAGGACTTTGTGGGCTGGGGTGTGCATTTTCTGTTCCAGCTCTGGGGCCCCCTCAGTCCCTGTGTGACCTTGGGATGTCCTTTCCCTTCTCCACAGTTCCGTGTCCCCATCAGTGACGTGGGGGTGAAAGCCTGATTTCCAGAATGGGTTGCTGGGGGTAATTCACTGGTGTGTGAAGATTCTGGGATGAGAGGAGCCAGGGAAGCACAATGCATTATTATGGAGTAGAGCAGGGGGGTTGAGAGCCAGGACTCCTGGGTTCTAGCCCCAGTTCTGGGAGGGGAGTGGGGTCTAGTGGTTAGAGCAGCGGTGGCAACTTGAGAGGCAGGACTTCTGGGTTCCATTCCCAGCTCTGCCACCAGTTTCCCTGACCTTGGGCACATCACTTCCTTTCTCCGTGCCTGTTTCCCCATGTGTAAAATGGAAATAACCCCCTCCATCCCATTTTGGGTGGGGGATTTAGACTGCACCAATTAATCCCTCCTGTCTCTCTCCTGCACCCCCATCCTTCCCGTCACTGGCCTTGCAGGATCCAGCAAGAACCTGGGGATCCCCTGCCCCCCTCCCTTGAAGCAGCACCATCTCTGAGCGGAAACCCTGACGCCCCTGCACCGTCATGTCGACCATCAATCCAGAGTAGTGAGTCTGGGCTGCCAAAACCAGGGGTTGCATCGCATGGCTGGCAGGAGGTGGGAGGGATGCTGAGCAAAAGGTGGCTTTTGTGTGCAATGAGTTGGGTGGGTCTCAGCACAGATCTCTCAGAGAAGGGAACAGGACCAGTTGGGGGGAGGTGTCTGTATGCATATCGGGTGGGGGGGGAGCCCTGTGTTCTCCTGGCAGACATTAGAAGGGATGCGGGTGGTTGCTGAGGTCCTGGGGCTTATGAGCAGGATGATGTCGCTCCCTGTTGGCCGCCCACAGCCACTGCGACCACCCGCCCTGACCAGAGAGCCACTATTGGGGGCTGGCGGCTCCCGCGCTGGGTCCGTCGTTGGATCCCTGCTGGCAGCCGTTTGGCTGCAGTGGAAGCGGGGGGTTACTCAGCTGCTAGAATTGCCCCCCCAGGCATTTCAGGGCGTCACCCTCCCCTCTCCCCAACAGCGACTACTTGTTCAAACTCCTCCTGATCGGGGACTCCGGGGTCGGCAAATCTTGTCTCCTGCTGCGCTTCGCGGTGAGTATCCGAGATGGTTAATTCTTAGGTGTATTACGGTAGTGTCTAGGCAACCTGCTCACAGACCAGCCCCCCATTGTGCCAGGTGCTGTACATTTGTATTGCTATTAGGTGTATTACGGTAGTGCCTAGAAGCCAGGTCACCCACCCCATTGGGCCCATGGACAGGCCTGACCCTAACAGCTCTTCCCCTCTCCAGGCCCAAGGAGGGAGAGAAAGCCAAGGGCCCTGCTGAAGGAATTTCTCCCATCAGGTGGGGGGAGCAAGAATGATGGGTGGGAACACAGTCTAGTGGGACAGAGCCAGGGGAGGGGTGGGAGCAGTGGAGGGGGAGAGAGGGACTGGGAATCAGGACTCCTGGCTTCTCTTTACAGCTCAGTCAGCCACTCTCTGTGCGACCTTGAGCAAGTTGGTGCCTCGTTCCCTGCCTCAGTTTCCCTGTCTGTGATGTGATAAAAATACCATAAGGCCTGAACCAGAGGGTTGAGGGCTTGTACATCTTACTGGGGTAAAGCCACTGCCCTCTCCAGGATGGAATTGGAACTGCTCATCTGTGTGTCCTAGCCTCTATGCTGCTACGAGCTGATGGGGATTCTCCTTTAGCTCCGGTGGCTAGGCTTTTGGAGCAGAGGGAAACAGGTTCTAAGCCTTTTGTTGCTGTGAAGTTCCTAGGGGCCTTGGGGTGGGCAGCACAGGGGCACCATGATGGCTGTGGGGGCAGGAGGGAAGCACTCAGTCTGCGGAAGGCTGGGGGGCACTGCCGGGCTCCCCCCTGCCCCATCACTCGCTGTCCCTCCTCTCTTCCCCAGGATGACAATTACACTGACAGCTACATCAGTACCATTGGGGTGGACTTCAAGATCCGGACCATTGAGCTGGAGGGGAAAACTATCAAACTCCAGATAGTGAGTTCATGGCACTCGGGGTTATCAGGACCCCTGCGTTCCATTCCCAGCTCTGGGAGGAGAGTGGGGTCTACTGGTTAGAGCGGGGGGGGCGGGGCTGGGAATTGGTCTCCTGGGTTCTGTGGGCTCTGGGAGGGGAGTGTGAGGTCTTGTGGATAGATTTAGGAGCCAGGGTCAGAGGTTCAACACACTAAACGAAATACAGACCCGGCTGCAAAAGTGAGAAGCCTCCCCCTGCCTCCCCCAGCTCCTGACCCCACCTCTCGCCCCCACCCATGAGGTTGGGAGGTTGCATCCAGACTCAGCTGAGGCCATGACTCAGATATGATGACGCTCCCGCCTTCCTGACAGGCTAAAATCTCCTGGCATTTCCCCTGCGTTCTCAGGAGATTTCAGCTGCCCCAGACCAAGGGATACAGACTCTGCCCCAGTGCGGAGTCTGAGCCGGAGCTGGGTTCAGATCGGGCCCCAACCCAAAGGGAAGTCGGGGTGGATCTGAAGTTGCTTTCTGACCCATCTCAACACTCCAATGAGGACAGTGGGGGAGACCTTAAAATTGTTCAGGGTGTTGCTGCATCTGATACACGCAGGGAATGGAAGGAGGGGCCCAGCACCAAGGAAGTATACATGGGAATAGCGCGAGCGTGTCGGGGCAAAATCAGGAGAGCCCAGGCAAGGAATGAGTTACGGCTGGCAAGGAAGGTTAGAGACGACAGGACGGGGTTCTTCAAATAAGTCAGATGAAAAAGAAAGATCATGGACAGTGTGGGCTCGCTGGAGAAGGTGAGCTGGGAACGGAAGATGGTAGGAATGCAGAGCAGCTCAATGCCTACCTCGCCTCAGTCTGTAACATGTGACCGGACGACTAGCGGAATTACCGCAGACAATGAAGGGGACGGGAGGCAGGTCGGGATAAGTAAAGAACACGTCACAGATCTTCTGACCAATCTGAATGAAGTCAAATCAGGAGGGCCGGATGCTCTTCACCCAGGCTACTGCAGGAATTAGCTGAAGAAATCGCGGAGCCACTGGCGATAATACTTACAAACACCTGGGTGACAGGTCCCGGAAGACTGGAGAAGGGCCAGCGTGGAGCCCATCTTTTCAAAGGGGGAGCCGGGGAGCTGTAGACCAGTCAGCCTGGCTTCGATACCTGGAAGCTACTGGAGCCAGATATAAACCATTCCACTGGCGAATGCCTGGAGGCCGGAGGGGTGATCACTAGCAGCCAGCATGGGTTTGCCAAGAACAAATCCTGCCAAACCAGCGTGATTCCCTTCTTTGACAGCGTAACTGGTCTGGTGGATGGGGGAATGCGGTGGACATCCTACACCTGGACTTCAGCAAGGCTTTTGACACAGTCCCACGTGACATTCTGATAACTAAGCTGGAGAGATGCGGCTCGGCAGAACTACCATTAAGTGGATACGTAACTGGTTAAACAGCTGCAAACAAAGAGTAACTATTAATGGAACGATGTCGGATTGGAGAGAGGTCTCGAGTGGGGCTCCCCAGGGATCTGTTCTGGGTCCGGTGTTGTTAAACATCTTTATTAATGGCCTGGATGTAGGAAGAGAGAGGAGACTGATCATATTTGCAGGTGACACAAAGCTGGCAGGGCTGGGGGTGGGGTGGGGTTGCCAACGCTTTGGAGGACAGAGCGAAGATTCAGAGGGATCTTGATAAATTGGAGAACTGGGCTTGAAATTTAACACAGACAAATGGAAGGTGCTTCAGTTAGAGAAGAAAAACCAGATGCACAAATGCGGAATGGGGGGTAACCGGCTTGGCAGCAGCACGGCTGAGAAGGAGCTGGGTGTGGTGGATCCCAGCCCCAACGTGAGTCAGCAATGCGATGCTGTGGCCAAAAAAGCAAATGCAATTTTGGGTTGCATTAATACCTCCTGCAAGTCCTGGGAGGTGACAGTACCGCTCTGCTTGGCGCCGGCTGGGCCTCACCTGGAGACCTGTGTCCGTTGTATAGGAAAGACGTAGAGAAACTGGAAAGGGTCCAGAGGCGCGCGACAAAGATGATCAGAGGGTGGAACACAAGCCGTATGAGCAAAGGCTGAAGGAGCTGGGTATGGTTAGCTGGGAAAAGAGAGGAAAGGGGGACGCGGTAGTGGTCTTCAGATACTTGGAAAGCTGCCGTAAGAAAGCTGAAGAAAAGTCGTTCTCCCCTGCCACAGAGGGCAGGACAAGGGGCAGTGGGTTCAAACGACAGCCCAGCAGATGTAGATTAAATCTCAGGAAAAACTCCCTCGCTGTACGAGCAGCAGGACAATGGAACGGAGGCCTCGGGGGGTCGTGGAAGTTCCTTCGCTGGCGGTTTTCGAAAGGAGGCTGGAGCCGTCTGTCTTGGGTGGTTTAGACCCAGCAAATCCTGCACCTTGGCAGGGGGTTAGACTAGATGTCCCTTGCGGTCCCTTCTGACCCTGTGGTTCAATGATCTCTTCAACGGGGGTGCATGAGGGGGAGCTGGGGTCTGTTTTGGGGTACAAGAGAGGGTGGGGTCTGTGGGGTGCATGGCAGGGCATCGAGGACCTGTGGGGATGGGGGCACAGGGTAGGACATCTGGGGTCCCTTTTGGAGTGCAAGCAGCACTAGAGTCAACTGGGGGTCTGGAGGCTGTGTGGGCCTAGGATAGGGGATCTGCATTCTGTAGGGCCTGGGAGCTGGCATGTGAGCTGGCAGGGCTGTGGGGTACAGAGTGGGGGGCTGTGTGGGTCCAGGATAGGGGTTCTGTGGGGCCTGGGAGCTGGAATGCAAGCTGGCAGGGCTGGGGGGTACAGAGTGGGGGGGCTGTGTGGTCCAGGATAGGGGACCTGGGTTCTGTGGGGCCTAGGAGCTGGAATGCAAGCTGGAAGGGCTGGGGGTTGGGGGGTACAGAGTGGGGGGCTGTGGGGTATAGGAGATCTAGGATCAGTGTGGGGCACAGGGTGTGTGTGATTGCCTTTTAGAAGCTGCATTTAATAAACTACAAACCAGCCTGCTGAGGCCGATTTTCCCCTTTTGCCCCGTGGGGCTCATCCCGGGGTGGGAAGGAAGCCTCCGGTCCACCCTCAACCCTTATGGGTCCTGTTCTGCTCCGTTCAGGTGCCCCACAGCAGAGCCCAGCTGAAGTGAAGCTGACCGGGAGCAGCCATTTACCAGCTGTGACTGTGGGGGCTGCAGGATCCGTCCAACAGCTGATCCCACCCTCCAATCCCAGCCCCGTTCCCCAGTGGGGGCCCCCCGCCCCCCAAGGCTCCTTGCTGATCCACCGTCTGCCAGTCCCCCCTGCACAGGACTCCAATCTTTCTCACCTGCCAGCCCCTCTGTGCCAAGAATGTCCCCTTGAAACTCCCCTCCCGCCCTGCGCAGGGGTCCTCCCCGGCTGGCTGGCAAAAGGGGCCTGCTCCCAGTCACGGGAGGCTGAAAGCAGAGTCTATTTCTGACTCTGGGGAGGAATGTTGGCCAGAGGCTAGAGCTGCGGGGTTGGGAGTCCGGACTCCTGGGTTCTATGGGCTAACCGGGCAGAGGATTCAGAGCCAGGACTCTGGGGTTCTATCCCGGGCTCTTGGAGGCCGTATGGTGCACGGGGCTGGGCGCCAGGACTCCTGGGTTCCCTTTCTAGTTGTGGGAAGGAGCATGGTCTATGTGTCTTTCTTTCCCTGCCCTGCAGTGGGACACAGCCGGCCAGGAGCGCTTCCGGACGATCACGTCCAGTTACTACAGAGGTGCCCACGGTATCATCATTGTGTATGATGTAACGGACCAGGTGAGTCTGACCACGGAGCCCTTCCTAAGGGAGGGCGTTTTGCTAGGTATGGACTTGCTATAGCCCTTGGCTATAAATGACTGGCGCTTATCCGTGTTCTTCATCCTGAAATATTTCACAACGTAGATCTGTAGGTTTGGGGTGGGACGTGGCAGCTGTTTGTGCCAGGATCATGTCACTCCGCACTGAGATGCGGCCACCTCTGGGGTGGGGCACAGTGGCTCTATATACAGGGATCATGTCACCTAGTGGAGGGATAAAGCTACCTTTGCGTTTGGATGTGGCAGCTGTTTCAACAGCAGTATAGAAACTATGCAGCATTTTAAGGCGGGAAGGGAAGGAGAATCCAGTATCCCAATGGAAGGGCAGAGGAAAGTTGAATGGTATCTGCATGGGGATTTGGTGTTTACATTAATTGCCCTTTTTTTGGCTTGTGTGTAGTAGATACAGACCTGGCCAGGAGTATTTGTGTCTCTTTAAGAGGGCAGCTGCTCCAAGACTGGCTAGCTCCGTTGCTTGGGGGCGGGGCTATGGAGCCTTTCCCTCCAGGCTGTGGGTTCAAGCCCCACTCAGGGGAGTAATGCCTGAGAGTCGCTCCCAATTAATGGCCGCTTTGGGTGTGACAGAAGCTGGTGGGTCTCAGTCCAGTTTGGATGGCAAGGTGCCCTTTATTTGAGTTGCCATGTTCCCCTGACTTGTATCCCCACCCATTTGGGGATGGACTAGGTGAAGGCTGATGGGCCTGCCCCCAGCTGTAGGTGGGGTTTAGACTGCAGGCGAGGCTCTTGCCTTGATCCCCTGGGAGCAGGTCTTCCCAGAGGGAATCAGGGAAGCGCTGGGCCCCTGGAGACGCCGCTCTCGGAGCCTCTCCCATCTCCGCTCCCCGCAGGACTCGTTCAGCAACATGCACCTGTGGCTGGAGGAGATCGGCCGCTACGCCAGCGAGAACGTCAACAAGCTGATCGTGGGCAACAAGAACGACCTGACCTGCAAGAAGGTGGTGGATTACACCACGGCCAAGGTCAGTACCGGGGGCGGAGGGGCAGAATAGTGCACGTGTCGCACGCTCATGCACACTTAAACACCAGCCCACAAGCACCGGGGGGAGGGCTCCGGTGAAAAACCCAGAGATCCTGGACTGAGGCATGGGAGAGGGGAGGATCTGCCCGGCACTAACCGTGGCCTTTCGTGTTCCCCGGGGCAGGAGTACGCGGACGCACTGGACGTGCCGTTCCTGGAGACCAGCGCCAAGACCTCCACCAACGTGGAGCAGGCCTTCGTCACCATGGCGGCCGAGATCAAGAACCGGGTGGGCAGCGGCCTCCCCCACAGCGACAGCCGCCAGCCCATCCCCCGCATCCAGAGCGCCCCCCTGCGGCAGGGCCGGGCCGGCGCGGGGGAGGGCGGCGACGGAGGTGCGGGCTGCTGTTAGGGAGGGGGTTTACCCCCCCCCCCCACCACCACCACCACCTACCCCGTGGTGGGGAGCTTCTCCGTGTCTGGGACTACGGCTGGGGGCCAGGACTGCTGGGCAGGGGGGGCCCTTTGCAGCACCCTATTTATCTGCAATAGATTTTTACAGGCTGCGGTCCAGCTCCCCTTATCCCTCTCCAACCCCGTGGGTGCACCCTCCCCCTTCGCTAGCCCAGAGACACTCAGGGCCGGCTACTGATCCGGGCTCCTGGCTGGCTCCGCTACTCAAGATCCATCTTCCCCTCCCCCCGTCATTCCCGACTCCCCGCTGCATGGCCATACAGCCAGCCCTGCTCTGCACCCTTCAGGCCTCTGGAAGGGGACAAGCTGCTCCGAACGGAGCCGGGCCCGGGAAGGAGTCCCCCGAATGCTGGAGGACGTGCGACGCCTTCCTGCGTGGAGAAGAAAGTGGCTTCTCGTTAAGAGGACCCAGCCACAGACCGAGCAGCAAGGAACTGTGCTGTGAGGCCCAGGACAAAAGCGGAAAGCGCCGTAGTTTGCTTCCCCTCTTAACGCAGCCTCATGGGAGTCTGGTGCCAAATTAGCGTCTTTTCCATGCCCAAACGTGAATGCTTGAATTTCTCCCCCGTCAGCTCCAGACTGAAGAGTGGCTTGAAAATTCAAAGCTTGGGTGGAAAGGCGACTCGAGCCGGGTCTCTAAGGCGATTTCTGACAGCAGGGGCCTTGTTAATCCAGAGTGCGATCCCGTGGCTGGGCGGAGTCAGCTGGAAATCGGGGTGCAGGTTTTTAACACCATGGGTGTTTAATCCAGAGTGAGATCCCGTGGCTGGGCGGAGTCAGCTGGAAATCGGGGTGCAGGTTTTTAACACCATGAGTGTTTAATCCAGAGTGAGATCCCGTGGCTGGGCAGAGTCAGCTGGAAATCGGGGTGCAGGTTTTTAACACCATGGGTGTTTAATCCAGAGTGAGATCCCGTGGCTGGGCAGAGTCAGCTGGAAATCGGGGTGCAGGTTTTTAACGCCATGAGTGTTTAATCCAGAGTGAGATCCCGTGGCTGGGCAGAGTCAGCTGGAAATCGGGGTGCAGGTTTTTAACACCAGGGGTGTTTAATCCAGAGTGAGATCCCGTGGCTGGGCGGAGTCAGCTGGAAATTGGGGTGCAGGTTTTTAACGCCATGAGTGTTTAATCCAGAGTGAGATCCCGTGGCTGGGCGGAGTCAGCTGGAAATTGGGGTGCAGGTTTTTAACGCCATGAGTGTTTAATCCAGAGTGAGATCCCGTGGCTGGGCGGAGTCAGCTGGAAATCGGGGTGCAGGTTTTTAACACCATGGGTGGTGATCCATTGGAAGAGCTCTCTCAGAGCCGGGCTGGGTCCTCCATCACTCTGGCGTCTCAGCAAGATTGTATGCCTCGTTCTCGAGCCGAGCTAGCTCCACCACCAGGTAGGGGCTGAATGCTGGAATTATGGTTGTGAGGCACCGGTCCGGGTTACACAGGAGGTCCTATGGGATGAGCAGAATGGGTCCTTCAAAACTTACGCGAACGGGGAGCTTTTTGGCTGGAAAGATTTGAAGGAGGGTCAAATTTCAATCCTGCCTCCCTGGCAGAATTTCCCCCCCTCCGCCTTTGCTCCCAACTGAGGTTTTTAAAAGCTGCCTCCACCCCATGGGGGGGGAGAGTTTGGCAAGATCCCTCCCCACTGAGTGTGGCCATGGAGGGACGAGGACCTTGCCGGGTGAATTGGCTCTAGCGTGTTCTGTGCTGGACGGTCCCTGTCCTGAGGGGTGGGGGATTTGAAGGGATGAGTGTTTGATGGGGGCTTGGGGGGGTGGCGGGGTTGAAATGGCAGCTGGGTTAATAGACTTGCTGGAAAATTTGCCCTCGGTATTTATCTTATTGCCTTTGAAATACAGTTAACTCTCTAAACAGCGGCTTGTCTGCCAGGGCTTGACTAGCAGCAGCCACCGCTGGCGGTAGGTCGTGGGGCCCAGAAATGGCACGTGCCGGCAGGGGACGGCAGTTTATTCCTGCTATTTAACACCGCTGAGATTTTTAGGGCTTGCCGGTGCCCTACGAATTAAAGGCTTCACCTACAATGGATTCCTAGAGCTTTGCATCCGTCCAGCTCAAAGCACTTTGCAAAGCAGAGCCCCAGCCGTAGCTCCATTTACAGGTGGGGAAACTGAGGCACGGAGCAGGGAAGTGGCTCACTCATGGGCCCCCAGCAGGCCCAGGGGTTGTGCTAGGAATAAGATTTGGGTGGCCATTGCTCTAACCCCTCGGCCATGCTCCCTCCTGCCTGCATCATATTCCCCAGCCAGCAGGCCCCAACTACCTCCCTGGGGCTCTTGCTTTTCTTAAGGCCAGCCTGAAGTGACTCGAAGAACCGCTGGCAGCTTTGGAGCAGAAGGAAAGGTTAAACGAAATGGGCCAGTCACGCGAATCGTTCACAGCTGAGGAACGGGACGTAGGACAGCCACGGGGAGCCAAAAAATCTCACAGAGACACAGGCATGGGGGACCAGGTGACCTAAAATAGTTCGGCTCTCACTGCGTGGCCAGCTGTGAGCCTTTAATGTCTCTAGGGAACAGAGAGACGACGCTCAGGCTGTACGGTAGTGTTTAGTTTAACCTTGGTCCAAAGCAGCTGATTGTGTAAGGCCCCCGGCCCTCCGCATTAAAGGTCTGCAGGCATCTACACCGCTCCTTGGTGTCACCCCAACCTAGAGCCATGCACCCCCCTAGCATCCCACACACACTATTAATTTCAATGGGAATGAGGCACCTAAATCCCTTCCAGGAGCCAGGCCAAGCCCTCTGAGCACGGGCAGCGGTGCCCCCATATTCAATGCGATGGCTCATACTTTGGCTTGCAACCATTACTAGCAGCTCAATGGGCCGGCGAAGGCCCCAGAAAGGCAAAGGCATGCCGCAGCCACCGGTGATCTCGCTGTGCCGGGTGGCAGACGATCGCTCAGGCTGGTGCAGAGCATGGGCGGGGCACAGCAGGTGAACGGAGAAGGGGGTGAGCCTGGAGGAGCAAGGACGGGGGGTGGTACCTCTCAATGCAGCCGTGGGGGCAACCCATCTGAAGCCCTGTTCTGATGGTCGCCCTTCAGCAGGGCTGTGGACATGCGGTGACCTTTCCAACAAGCCATGAGAACGACCCCAGGTGTGTAAAATCTGTCTGAGAGACAACAACAGCTCAATCTAGCTACTGGATGAGTGTCATAACCGTTGGAGACGCTTCCCTGCACTTGTGGGGGGCGTGTCTCTCACTCGGACGCTTCCCGCCCCAGCTGTACATCTCCAATCGCTCTCCTCTAGCTCGAACCAGGACTTGCCGGGCCAGCGTCTCCGGCTTCAGTCTCTTATGGCTGAATCTAGTTGCCGGAGCAGGCCATGGACAGGAAGCCAACGGGGCAAGGGCAAGTGTTTCAGTCATTGACAGCCTCACGCACACCACGCGGGTGCCTGGAGGTGGCGGCGGGCAGGGGGGCAAGGCACAACACCAATCTGGTGCCCGAAGCAATCAGTACAGGGAGGTTGGCAGCTGCAGTGTGCCGACAGGGTTGAACCAGCCAGCCCACGCTGGGAACGCTACAGCCCTGGCAATGCAAAGCCCACTCCAATGAAAAGTGGCCATTGGTCACAGCCCAGCCTGTTACTGGCCCAGCTCTGGCCCCTCTCCCATGCAGCATGGCAAAGTTTTTCACACAACGCACAGTCAACCTGTGGAACTCCTTGCCAGAGGATGTTGTGAAGGCCAAGAGCATAACAGAGTTCAAAAAAGAACTAGATAATTTCATGGAGGATAGGTCCATCAGTGGCTGTTAGCCAGGACGGGCACGGACGGTGTCCCTAGCCTCTGTTTGCCGGAAGCTGGGAATGGGCGATAGGGGATGGATCACTTGGTGATTCCCTGTTCTGTTTATTCCCTCTGGGGCACCTGGCACTGGCCACTGTCGAAAGACAGGACGCTGGGCTAGACGGACCTTTGGTCTGACCCAGCATGGCCGTTCTCATGTTCTTAAGAGCCCTACCCCAACTCTCTAAATTTGCAAGCGTGTCTAGATTTTACTCCTTCCAGGCCTCTCCTGGGCCAGTTATCTTGGGTATTCCTGGCAGGATCGGTGGCCAGACCCTCCTGGGCTAGTTCACTTCCTAGCTGGTGAAGTTGTCCTCCAGGGTCTGACTGGGGGGGAGGCACCATGGAAATCTGGGAAGGGGATGGGAGCAGGAACAGGGCCTGGAAGCATGTGGCATGACAGGCCCAGAGGAGGAGGCCTGGGAGAGGGCAGGGTTCTGAGCGATGTAATAGAATTAGATGGGGCATGTGGCACGGGGAGCCGTGTGATGGGCTCGGACAGGGATGCCCAGTCCTAGACATGGCTGGGGGAGATGGGTTAGGGGGACCCCCCCCGGGACTAGGTCCAGTGGGGCCAGACAGGTCTGCCCCATCCCAGCCTGGCTCTTACCTGTGGCTAGAGAGCTCAGGAAATAGGCCTCTGGCAGCTGCTCTGAGTCTACACAACACAAGAGAGAAAGTGCTGGCAATCCCACCGGGCGGGCAGGAGGAGCAGTTGCTTTAGGGAGCACCCAGAGCTCCCCCTGCACAAGTCAGGACTCCTGGGTTCCATTCCTGGCTCTGGGGGGGAGTGGAGTCCAGTGGTTAGAGCAGGGGGGCTGGGAGTCAGGACTCCTGGGTTCCATTCCTGGCTCTGGGAGAGGAGTGGAGTCTAGTGGTTAGAGCAGGGGGGGCTGGGAGTCAGGACTCCTGGGTTCCATTCCTGGCTCTGGGGGGGGGAGTGGAGTCCAGTGGTTAGAGCAGGGGGGGCTGGGAGTCAGGACTCCTGGGTTCCATTCCTGGCTCTGGGAGAGGAGTGGAGTCCAGTGGTTAGAGCAGGGGGGCTGGGTTGGTAAGCTCAGCCTTGAGGGCCAGGCATTCCTGTTGTCACCCCCACCTCCTCACTGCCCCGCTTGTCTGTGCCAGGTACAGACGAGCGAGGCAGATGCCTTCTAGGGGGCACTCTCCCTTTACCCCCTCCGCCATGGAATTTGTTCCCCTTTTAACCACATTGGGTCCTGGATGCCTGGGTCCCGTGTAGCCAGCAGCCATGGTTCTGTAGCAGGCGCCATGCTAACAAAATAATCGCATGCACGAGATTCAGTAGCTCCTTCCCAAGGACTTTATTCTGGTGACAGGGCCCCTGATTTCCAGCTTTCCCTGGGGCTCTCTGCTGCTGAGCCACAAGACCCTCCAACCACACCCCCACCACCAGTCAGGGGCAGGGGTCCCGTGGGTTCTTCTGGTTCGGAGGGAAGTAGAAGACACGTCTCTGGTTTTCGCAGGGCCGGTAGGGGGAGAAATCCCAGGCTCCCTCCTCCAGGCACCCAGCAGAGAAGTTGCTGAAGAGCGAGACCTTGAGCTGCACCAGGACCTGGCGGGCCTGTGGCACAGTGGGAGGGAAGAAGGGTGGTGAGGCATAGAACTGAGGAGCAGAAGTAAAAGCTTTGCCATGCAGTGACCTGCGGAACTCCCTGCTGCAGGAGGGCCAGATCCTCTCATAGCTTCAGCAGAAGGCCCCAGAGGCTCAAGAAAAACACACAGCCCTACCCAGCCCCACGGCCCCATTTTCTGTGACCCCAAGCCCCTGCTTGGCCCCAGCACCCACAATCTCCCTGCCCAACCCCCATGTCCCATTCTCTGTTACCCAGTATCCCCTGGGGCTCTGCCCAACCCCAGCACCTCAGCTTCTGTTTTCCAGAGTGCCCCATAGGCTCTGCTCTCACCCAGTGCCCCATTGTTTATTACCCAGAATCCCTGGTGGTTCCTACCCTACCCCACAGCTGTTGCCCACAGGCCCCTGGAGAGCGCGAGAAAGGCACCCACCTGGTGGTCGGTCACACACTGCAGCTCATGCTCCTTCCCTAGGATGGGCACCAAAGCCTCCTGGAGGGTGTGGAGCTGTGGAGGCAGGATGGGACAGGTCAGCAAGCAGGACGCTGCAGGGGTGATGGGGGAGGGAGTTCCCCCCTCCACAAACCATCCTCCGCCGAGGGCAAACCCAGCTGGAAAAGGCCAGGGATCCCAAGGGGCGGGATGAGCTGAGCCCTAGGGAGTCTGTGGGGCAGGCGCGCTCGGGGTACCTGGTAGCTGTGATTGCAGGACGGGAGGATCCCGGCTCTCTGGAATGCTCTGTGCGAAAGGGAAAGGAATTGGGGTCAGACGGAGGGGCAGGGGGAGGTAAAATCACCCCACGACCCCCAGCATTGCAGTGCCACCAGAACACCAGCCTCCCCCATGAGCCCCGACCCCACCCCATAGAGCACTGCCCGAAGAGAGGGAGCCCCACCTTCCCCATAGACAGAACCACCACCCCCCCAACAGAGACCCTATTCACCCCATAAACATCCCCCTGAGAGAGAGTGCTGAACTGTAGATCGCCCTGCTGTAGCTCCCCCGAGAGACCCCAGTACTGTACATCGATCCCCGAGAGAAAGCCAGACCCCTGTTACAGATTGTCCCAACCCCAAACTGTACAGCCCCCTAAAAGAGAGATCCCCAACACTGAGCTCCCCTCACTATAATCCCCCAACACTGAGAGAATCCCCGCAACACTGAGGGATCCCCCAACACTGAGAGATCCCCAACTACAGATTCTCCAACACTGAGAGATCCCCGACTACAGATTCCCCAACGCTGAGAGATCCCCCCTCTATAGATCCCCAACACTGAGCTCCCCTCACTATAAGCCCCCAACACTGAGGGATCCCCCAACACTGAGAGATCCCCAACTACAGATTCCCCAACACTGAGAGATCCCCCCGACTACAGATTCCCCAACACTGAGAGATTACTGACAACAGATCCCCGAACACTGAGAGATCCCCCCTCTATAGATCCCCAACACTGAGCTCCCCTCACTATAATAGTTTTTAAGGTCAGGCTTGACAAAGCCCTGGCTGGGATGATTTAATTGGAGATTGGTCCTGCTTTTGAGCAGGGGGTTGGACTAGATACCTCCTGAGGTCCCTTCCAACCCTGATATTCTATGATGCTATGATTCTATGAATCCGCCGATACTGAGAGATCCCCCAGCACTGAGAGATCCCCTCACTATAGATCCCCCAACACTGAGCGATCCCCTCCATACAGAGCTCCACCCCCTAGATCCCTTCATGAGAGATCACCTTGTGGCAGATCCCCGTCTCCCCCATGAGGAATCCCAGTCGCGCAGCCCATAACCCAAAGCCAGTGAACGACCGAGCCCCTGCCCCGGTGGGAGCTTTGCTGTCACCAAGGGGTGGGGTGGGGTGGGGGTTGGAAGTGTGCCCCCCCCTGCAGGGGGCTATTCTCCCTTGCTCTCCGGGCTGGCTGCCCGGCTCACCCCGTGCCCGGCTCACCCGTCGACGTTGTACGTGGTGCGCAAGCCGAGGGCCGCCCCGAAGTACTTGCTGGGGGAGCTCAAGGCCTCCATGCACCCAGCGCAGGTCCCGTGCTTCTGCCACTCTTCCCTCCTATGGTGGTGGGGGGGAAATAAATGCCCATGAGTCAGTCACATCCCCCCCTCCAGGCCCCATGCTGGAAATCCAGACTGGGGGGGGGGGGGCAGTGGGATCTGCCAGCCATGACACCCAACCCTATAGGGCAGCCTCCACACACCCACCTGTGCCTATGGCCTCTTGAGTATCCTC